TATATATATATATATATATATATATATATATATATATATATATATATATATATATACATATATAATATATATATAGTATGCAATACATTTTACATATTAATGATGAGGAAAAGGACGAAAAGGAAAAAGGTGACAAAGTTTAGAAAGGATTTGGTATTAAAAATGAATTAAATATGCAAAATAATCCTGAAATCTGCGAAAATTGAGCTTCTTGAATAAAATATATGTATGGGTGGGTTGAAAAAATGTTTCATAAGTGGTCTATTTCAGTCGGTTAGACTGATTATAATATTGTTGAAATTTTGCTCAAAATTTACATCAAATCATTTTACTTTTTTGAAATTTTTTTGCATGCATTTTCATTATTTTAGCTAATATAAGCAATGAAAAATTTTTATTAAAAATATTACATTCTAATATTGTTATTTTACTTTTCTTCTTTTTGACTTTTTTTGAATTTAAAATTTTGAAGATAATTTAAGGAATTATATTTTATTAATTGAAAAAAATTGTATAATGTTAAAGGAAAAGCTAAAAAAAAAAAAATTTTTAGTGAAAAATATCATTTCTTAGCGTTTCTTACAATCATTCCAAAATTTTTGCATCAATTAATTAATTTCATTCATTCAAAAATCTCAATATTTAACAAAATTTTAATATAAAAACGAAAATCATTTAGCCAATCATTTAGGATCATTTAGTGAGTTGTTATTTGTTTTTATTGATGTTACAAATGATAACTCATCCCAAGTTTTTATTTACACTATTTGTAGAGCTATATGAAATCAAAATGATGAAACGTGATACTACTGATTAGTTATTGAAAAGTTTTTCTTATACATCTTGTCACTATAACCTTTAAATGACCCCATATATTATCAATACTGCTTACAGTATAAATTACATCAGTAATGTAAAATCAGTAATGCTAGTAATGTAATACTAATAAAATCAGTAATGTCAGTAGTGTGATATTGATAATATCAGTAATGTAATATTAGTAATATCAATAATGTCAATAATGTAATATTAGCAATATCAGTAATGTAAAATCCTTTAATAAAGAGTAAATTAATGATGTGTTTCATTTTCTAAAGTATTTTCAAAATTTATAAATGATTGAAAATAAACTTCAATTATTGTGAAAGTTACCGTAAGAGGGAATAATTAATTTCATGGTGCATTCAAACATAATTAATTGTTGACATTCAAGGAAGCAGATTTTTGCATGATTTAAAATGATTGCAAAATTTCGAACCTTCGAGAATGGTATGAACTTAGCTTTGCTTGACTATGTTGAAAACTGAACAAAACAATCACAAATATTATCAATTGATATCATATTATCAATGATATCAATGATTCAAAGTTAATAGAACGATCTGAATGATCTCCACATCCTCGATCATGTATTTAAATAAAAAGTAATTAAGTAATTTAAAAGCAATTTAAAAAAAAATAAATTGAAAATGAATTTGGGTATGATCAAGCAAAAGTAGTTAATCAGAAGAATATTATTTGAGCAAAAAATTTACCTCAAGATATTTATATAATTAAAAATTAACAATTTACCAGCTTATACAAGAATTATTATCTAATGCAGAATAGAAAAAAATAGATAAATTTGACAAATCTAAAAATAAATTTATCAAAAAAAAGTTTAATTTTTTCTTTCTTATATTCATTTTTTATTTGACGTAAACTAAGACTTAGTCATTATTTCTGATAATTTTTTTTTCTGATATAAAAAAAGATGAGTTCAAGTTCAGATATATTTCGTAAAATTTTTAAAATCTCTTTAATTTTTTGAAAATTTCAAAAAAAATCTTTTTTTTTCGTTTTCATATCCATATTTTATTTGAACTAAATGTTAGTTAATATTTCTGATAAAGAATTTTTATTGTATCAAATTCTGATAACTTTTTTTCCCATTTCTTTTTGGATAATACAAATTAAACGGATTGAAATGAAATATTGAATGTTGAAATTTGAAATTTAAATGGTTGAAAATTCAAAAAAAAAAGAATTGAAGGAAAAAAATTAACAAATTAATTCTATTCCAAATTTTATGTCACACAATTTTGGTTACTTATTTGATCAATGTAATATTATTTTTGTTAATTTAATTTTATCAAATTTTTATTTAATAAAGGGATGATAAAAACTGAAATTTCATTTCTAGTTAATAACCGCCAATAGTAATAATTTTAGACGAAAAATTGTTTGATTGCTGTTAAATTTATCCGTTTAATATTTATTAAATTTAATTTTATTAAAAATTAAAAAAGAAATCTTTTTTACACTTTTTAATAATTAAAATTTTACCTAAATATCATCCTCAATAGAATATATCAAATTAATCCACCTATACTGTTAATATATTAATTTGGTAAAACTTAAAATCTAAAATTGAAATCAAAATCATTTCAC